GTGGTCAGCCATACCTGATTTTTCTATTTCTCCTTGTGCTAGGGTTTAACAATGTCCTTGCAGCCTTATCTTAAGGGGACAGCCTGTTTCTACTTTATATTTCTTACATGGGATAGCGTACACACAGTCCTTAATCATGTTCCCCTATATGGGGTGGTCTTACTTGGAAGAGATGTCTGCAAAGTGTTAAACTGCTTTTGAATGTTGTCCTGATGTTATATGCACCATAGATCTTTTGTATTTTTTTTCCAATAATCCCTTCACATAGGGTAGGCAGACAGAGACTGTTTACTGACTGTTGTTATCCTCTTGTACTCTTCTATTCCAGTTTGTTGGAGCTGCTGCCATGTACCCAGGGTAGTTATGTTGTAGAGTACTGCTTATACTGAGCATTTCTTGTCCATATGTCTCTGGGTCACCACTTATGTCTCTTGCTTGATGTTGTAAGCAGCAGACATTCTTTTTTTTTTTTTTTTTTTTTTTAACACTGTATAGGTGGTTAAAGTTGATGTATTGTATGGTGAATGTTTGCTTGCGGTATGCGGATGTCTCGAACCCAGGCTCTGTTTGAGGTATTAATACATCCAGGAATGCTAATTTGTTGTTGTTTTCTCTCTCCATTGTGAACTCTATTGATAATCTTATTGAGTTTACATGGTTCAGTAGTAACCAGAGTAGGAAGATGCCATATACATATCTCGGTCATAGAGTTGGCTTTAGTGATTTTGATTCTAATGCCATTTCTTCAATGTATTCAATTTATATGTTAGCCATCACTGTTGATAATGGCAAGCCTATTGCTAAACCTTTATCCTGCTGATATATGTCTGATCCCATTCCAAAATGTGTTGTTTGTTTACAGAAAGTCAGCATCTACATCAGGTTATCTCTTGATATACTGATCCATTCTCCTAATGATGATTATGAGACCAGTCTCTCTGATTATCAATAGTGCTTCCCCTGTGGGTACCTTGGAGTAATACAGAGTGCTAGAGAAAAGGGATAACAACAACAATATTGCAGTATCAGCTCTGGTAAAAAAAAATGGTTTTTGAGTTAATAATAATAATAATAATGGTTATAAGTCCCAAAAATTCATACATTGATGTCCCCAATGTGGACGTGACCCAGTGGATAAAAGCGTTGGTTGAATCCAGTGACTTGAACCAAAGAGTTGAGAGTTCAATACCTGGCTACAGATTGGAGAGTTGAGTTAAAGGTGGGTAAATGATACTGAGACATCCGGAAAAGGCATGGCATGTGGAGTGAAATAAAGGGCTCATTTTGAAATTCCAATGCCTTGAAGAAAGCTGGAGCGTACAACAGCTGAAACGTTGTGAATATGGCAACAAAGATGAGGACAACAGGCCAAATAACGTAAATAGTGTAAATTGTCAATAATGATGTTAAAACTGTTTTATCATTGGTTTGCCAAAGAAATTTTGCTTTTTCAGGTTATGTGGTTGATGGAAAGTCTTTCCTGTATTTGTCACATGATCGAAAACAGCAGATATTGTCTTATTTGGGGAGAGAAAATGACAACTGACATTGATTGGTTTCAATATATATAAAAATCCAAAGAATCACCAATATTATCGGTCCTGATCTGGCATCTCAGCTTCAGTCACTTTCCCACTGCTGTAAGGTTGCCTCCCTGTGTCTTTTCTATAAATACTTTCATGGTAACTGTTGGGATGAGCTCTTTGTTATGGTACCCCTAGACTTTTTGAATTTAAGTGTTGCACTGGACTGGCATCAAAATCTCACAAATTTATGGTTGTGCTGGCTAGATGTAGCTGTAAATTCTATGCTCAGAGTTTCTTTCCTCGCACTTCTTGCTTGTAGAACTCCTTTCAAGCTAAATTTAATCTCCAAAGATGTAAATACAATGTCAATTGCTATCAACTGTCCTCCTGATTACTCTTTTCTCTTCCCACTAATTAGTAATGTTTCTGTTCCTAATTCTTCTACACCCAGTAAACCCTTGTGTCTTAGCGGCTTTACTTCCGCCTTGCTTGGGATAATATATGTTATTATTATTATTATTATTAACAACAACAATAATAATAATTTTGAATTATAGTAATTTAGGAACTTTCATAATTCAAGACCTTTTTATAGTTTGGATTTTTCCTATTTTAATGAATTCTTCACTCTAACAGACATGACGTTTTTTTACAGAATCATGTATATTTGGTTGTTGTGATGTTTTTGGTTGGAAGCCCCAGGTGAATGTCAGTGGCTCTCCTCTCCCCCAAAATACAAACCTTTTACTTAAAATGACCTGGTAACATTTTGGTCATATTTCTAAATCTCAGCCAATCACCTTTTGGCAACTAAAACTCTTCAGATAACTTGCTAGAGGGAAGTGGGGAGTTTTGATGTCCAAGGAAAAGAGACATTTTTCTGCTTGACCAACAACTGCAGCACTTTCTTGGAATCGGCAAGACACACATTGCTTTTCCACTTTCTTTTTCTCTTTGTGCAGTGTGTAACTTGGATAAAAAGTTTTTTTCATCATTCTTTCTCCCCCATCACGAGACTGACAGTTGTCTTAAGTTAGTCTTTCATATAAAAACTTGTAAATATTCCATTATCTTTTAGTCTAGCATAAGGCCAAGTACCCATTATCTGAAGCAGTTAATTTATATTTTATTTAAACCAATCTAAAATTTATGCATTTGAGTCTCTGTGATATTTTGTTTCTTTAATCATTTCACTCCAAGAAAGGCGATGAAGTCACTAAGATGCAAAAATAGAACAGGATTCAAGGAGAAAGATAATTGGCATTTTTAAAATTTTTGAATATCGTAGTTGACAGGAAAGTAGGAAACCAAAAGAGTTCTACAAGTGAAAAGGGCAGGAGAAGAAATATATTTCATAGGTTTACATGATTAATGATGATGATTCATCTAAGAAATTTAGACAAGTTAAAACTATTATGACTACTGTTAGTTTATGGTGAAACCATGTTGAAAGCAGAGGTTTTCATTCAATCACCAAAGTTAAGCAGGGTAGATATTGGTCAGTAGATAGAGGAGTGCTTGAAAACAACTAGTCCAATAACTATTAGAGGAATAAACCTTTATTATTATTTTTTATTTATTAAATTCCATGTTTGGAATATGGGGGCTATCATAAAAGATAATGGTGCAGCCAACACTGGTTTCCAATCTTCTTGGAAGAGGAATGCCATTGTCAAGGATATACCATCTCTAAAATTGAGACTCTGCAAATTTTAGTTGGAATTGCAATTAATCATTTAACATAATGCTCATTTGATGAGGAGGCTATTACTAAGCATGAAAAATGTTGTTGTGTTCATCTTGTCTGGTTTTCGAACATTGAGAGCGACTCTCTTGACAGAGACAAAAAAAACTGGTGTTATATTTCTCTCTCAGTCCCAGACACATGCTGACTATTGACTAATACCTGCCTGGTATCGTTCATATACAAATAGTCGGTGCCACCTATTGTAAGTAGAATGTCTTCTGTCAACAGCCCATTGTGGAAGGGGACGTAACTCCTAGTGCTTATAGCACCACCTACAACCAACTTGGAGTCGCTTATTGGGGTGTCTTGATTCTCTGTTAGCACAGTGTCAAGTAATTCACATAATAATCCTAACTCCTCCTCAGAGTGGAGGTTTATCCCTTATTTCCTGCTTAGGGATTGGTTTTCCAGATCCTGTTAAAGTATGTACGTTTACTTGTGTTTTTCCAAACACAACAATCTTGACCTCTTCAAATCTAGAGTTTGTCATTACCTTTCCTGTCACAGCCCCAAGAACTTCACTTCTTGCCCTTTCTTATGCTCATACAACACCATGCAGTCATTTTCTACCTTGAGTGTTTTTTGGGCCTTGTATTGGATCAACATTAGTAACAAAAAAACAAAACAAAAACACAGTAACTCTGTACCTGTGAGTGTCAAATTTATCCAGCACTCTTTCCTCATGTTTAGAAAAGAAAATTGTCATGCTGGAGCAACCTCCCTACTCACCTGACCTGGCTTTGTGTGATCAACTGTCCCCCAGCTCGAGCGGGGACACCAAAGGCACTCATTTTCCAAATGTGGAAGCCACCAAGAGGGCTGTGAGAGCTGCAGAGAATGCAGGAAGAATCCTTCCAGGAGTAAATGAACGCATGGTAGTGGAGGATGGGAAAGTGTGTGAGACTTGAGGGGGATAATTTTGAAGGAAATTGTCTACTTTGTTCTTTTAGACATAAATGTCTTGTTTCTTCAGTCCAGTTTCTTTTTCTAACATTGCGATTTTAATGTCTTTGAGATAATCCCATTTACATTTGTGAGAAAATTCACATCTAACTTTCAATATAAAATCAGTCTCTCTCACCCAAGTCTAAGTAGGTCTTGAGACCTGTTAATCCAGAAACAGCTCCATATGTCAAGGTTCTCAGTATAAGTAGCAAGATTGTATCTATAGCCAGCTTACTAGGCTTGTCATATAGGTTACAGCACCTGGTATTACCCAGCAGTCACCCATCTGAGTATTGACCAGATTCAATGTTGCTTAACTTTGGTGAGAACTGTTGTTTCAACATGTTAGTAGGAGCTTATATTTAACAGTGACTTTTTGCAGTGACCTGTATTATTCATAATGCCACAGGTGTGCCTATGTAACAGGTAATTTGTATCAGGTGTACATTTATATCCAAGGTGTCATATTCCTAGAATACCAAACCCTTGTCACATGTCATTGCTTGTTGACTCTCTTGTTGTTTATCATCCAAGTATTTCTACTTTCCAACAGTCAAGTATGGAGATAAGCAACTCAAATTTATGACCCATTTTAACCAATGCTAAAATAAAATACAAAAGATGGTTTTAAAATTTTACAATTTTACTTATAGAAACACATTTACTGGAACAGAGAATATCATTTATCAATGATTAATTTTGCTTTTTTATGGATTATCAACACTTTGTGATTTATTTGATGCTGAAACATATTTTGCATTGTAGGAGGTTACTTACTGTAGCCTGTATTCCCAAGTGGTTCCCCATGTAAGTACTGACCAAGCTTAATGCTGCTTAACTTCGATGATTGAATGGGAACTGGTATTTTCATTGTTATTTGACTGTAGGCTTATGAAGAAGATAATGATGATGCAGGATTCTGTAAGATGAAGATGATGTATTATAGGATGCAAGAAAATGGAATACTGTAAGGATTACTCGTAATATATTCATCGAAAATATTCTTGTTTATCTCTAGAAAAAAATGTAATTTTAAATGTCTTTAGTTGTATAAAAAAACCCTGCTTAATTTAAAAAAGCAACTAATTATTTGATTTGAGGGTAAGAATTGAGAAGGATCAAGTGGTGTCGTTAAAAGGATATTAGGATGTTAAAAGGATTAACTTAACTCAGCATAGAGTGTGGTCAAGAAATTTTACCCTCACTGGTTAACAAATTCACTAACAATGGCGTTTGAATCTAACTTGTTACCCATTCTTTTCTGCCAGATGATCTATTCTTGAACTAAGCTGAATCTGAGTCACAATAGATAGGCAGGCTTGGTTAAGGATGAAAAAAACTTTTTTATCTTCAGTCTCCTCCTTTGTTAATGCACTTAAAATAGTATAATACTATACCTGTCACTTTTAGGCATTTTTTTTTATCATTGATGACAGTTGGCAGAAGAAAAATTATCTTAAAACACAGCGCTGCTCATGGCTAAAACAACCAATACACAATCGGCATGGTTTTTGATGACCACAGTAGTAGAATATTGTAGAATCATCCACCATGGGGCATTTTTGTTTTTGTCTTTGTCTATACTCTATGGCATGCTGGAGTCTATTCTCTTCGTAGCTTTTTGCTCCCATGAAAACAGTAGCTCTCTACCTGACTCGCTCTTGGGCAACAGCATCCCAGTTTGCAACATTGATAGAAATTCCATCATGGATGTTTTATACTGGTACTTGAAGTGAAGCTTGGGTTGTCCAATATTATATGTGCCCTCAGTACAGTTCACCGTAGTCTCTGTTTGGGAATTCTGAAGTTATCCATGCATGTAATATTGCCAAGCCACCTGAGACTGCAGGATGGGATATAATGGCTGAACGCCAACTCTTTTGAGCACTTCTGTAACTGAGACCTTATCTTGCCATTTAATTTTTAAAATTTTCTTAAGCATCTCGTGTGAAAACTATTTAACCTCTTCTTCTGACCAGCATACAAGGTCCATATTTCACTTCTGTAAAGGATTGTTGAGTGGATGCATGTTTGGTAAATTAATCTGGGTTTTTATCTTGTTTCTCAAATGCAGCTGTGGCCTTTCCTGTTCTGCTTGTCAATTCCTCATTCATAGATAGGGTCAATGTTATGGTGTATCCAGAGTAAATAAACATCTACTGTTTTCAGAGATTCACCACCAAGTTTTATCTCTGATTTTAAATTGTCAACCTAAAGAGATTGCATGTTTCCGATAGATCATCAACTAATTGTAGAGCTCGATTTCTGTGTGTGCCATTATTGTAAATCTCTAATCAACACTTCAGTTGTCAGTCGTTTTGACTTCAGTCTTTTCAAACTGAGAAGAGATCCCGCAAACCTGCCTTTAAGCTAAACTCCATCCTCGCTCACATCGAAAGCATGTTGAAGGATGGCAGCAAAATAAATGGCAAAGACAGTAGGTGCCTGGATACAACCCTGTTTAATGCCACTCCTCATCTTTAACAACCCTAATGTATTTCCATTGAATTGAATACATACATGCATTTATGTCCTTAGGAAAAGAAATGACCAATTGCAAAAGAATTGGTAGTCAACCAATTTTTTCCAGTATGTTATGGAGATTTCTGACCCGTACTGTCAAATGCCTTCATCAGATCAACAAAGGCGATGAACAGTGGTTTTCTTTGTTCTCTGCATTTTTTTGGCAGCTGCTGCAGTATAAAGACCATATCATTTGTTGATCAACCAGCCCTAAATTTAGACTCTCTCTCTCTCTCTCTCTCTCTCTCTCTGGAAGGATGCAATCAGACAGCTTTTGCAAGCCGAGAGAAGATCTTCCCGCCATGGAAAGAAGAGATATCCCCCTGTAATCATCCTTGTCACCCTTATTTTTCTACAGAGTAATGATTTTTGTGTCCTGCATTGTGTGTAGTATTTCATGTTGTAACTAGCATTACAGTAGCAATACATGCAACTGTGGGTAGAGAACATCAATTTTTCCTAAAACAATTTCAGCAGGAATACCATCCTTGCCCAGCACCCTTTCGTTTGAAAAGGCACTTATTGCTACATAAAGCTCTCCTTTGATAGGTTCCTCATCCAATTATGCAAATACACCAAAAGAAGGTTAAGACTGCCTCCATTCTTTGGATGTTCAGGAAGGTATTGAGCATAAAGGTTGGTGTAGTGCTCCACCTATCTTTTGAGCTGTTTAGCTTGGTTTTTTTATTGGTTTGCCAACCCAGATTTCAGCTTTGCCATTTGGCTAATGGTAAAGCCTAGAGCAGCTTTCATTTGAGAGTGGATATATATATATATATATATAATAATGTGTCTGTGTTTATATTTCTGAGATGTGGTATTGTAACTTGTCGAAAAAAAGCTTTAAACTTTTTTCCTTGCAACCCATCAGTTTCTTCTTGCTCACTGACTGTGGAACATGTTGCCAGTCCAACACATCAGTCAAACATCTTTTCTTCCTGCTTTTATGTATCGATGACAGATAAAATTTGCATATGTGCAAAGATAATCTCGTAAGAGAGTATCTTACTCTAAAATTTAGTTTTTTTTTTCTTTTTTTCTTTTTTTCTTTTTTTTTTTTTCTTTTATAAATATGTAACCTATGAAGCTTTAGACAGTTTTACATGTGAGGCATGTTTCAATCATTGCTCATGCTGGAGGTAAGTTTTTTTTTTTTTTTTTTTTTTCTCTCTAGTATTGTAAAAAATACATGCAACACTGGGCCTCTTTGCCCTCTGTGGTAGTTTACATTATTTGACACATGGCCCAGTGCATAAAAGCATTGGTTGATGTAATCCAGACTTTACCCAAAGAGTTCAATACCTGTACAGGTGAACAAAAACTTGAAAGTTGAATTACTACAGGAAAATAACTGAAACTGAGATCCAGAAAAGGCATGGCATGTGGAGCCAGAACAGTCTACCCTGGTGAATGAAATAAAGATTTTGGATCAGAATTGCCACATATTACCTGAAGAAGGCTTGAGTGTACAACAGCCGAAATGTTATGAATATGTCAGTAAAAATGAGGACAATGTAATACATATATCCTTGTTCTCAACCATTAACCTTTTTTGTGACTCAACATTCTTTGTATACTTGCTAATTTTTTTTTTTTTTTCTTTTTTTTTCTATTATTATTTTTATTCTCCTTCCTTTCTTGGCGGTCCTCTCTGGTTGATTATTGGCAGTTGGGGGTGGGGGGATTCTGATTCTTTTGTATACATTCTTCTTGATAATTTTTTACATAGCAGGAAATTATAAACATTTATCTTTTCTGCAACTAACATATGGCAAGCAACCTTTTCAGATAAATTGAAGAGTTTCATAAATCATGCAATTCTATTCAAAATGTTTGCCTCAAGCTGGAATATTAAATCTTGAAATTTTTCGAATGCCGAATAATGGCGCCAGCTGAAGTAGAGTTTTGATTAAAGTCTAATCCTTTGTGCTGAGTGTTTGAACAAAGCTAAATCCTGTGTGTATTCCTGTCGTTTTCTTTTGTTATGACTAAAACCTTCATTCCAAAATTTTGTGCCGGCTTCAAATGCTTGTGATAATCCAGTTATAATTCAATCTGTAATTTCAAATCCCCGCTTCTCACTGGGATGTGAAGGGTTTGCAAAATCCTTGCTTAGCCTGGTACAAGGTCACAATATTAGGTCACTTAGTGATGATCAAATTGACTATCATTGGCTTGTGAAACTTTATACTATAGCCATATAGTAGTAAAACACTTGGCAAGGAGTAAATTTGATTTACAAGATGAGTATGTTAATCATTACTCTTAAAGTGAATATTATTTTTTAATTTTATTTCTTAATTCTGGTACAAGGTGAAAATTAGGACTCAATTTAACCATCTGGTCTCCCTTATATATTTTGTAAACATCACACTATTTTAGGTGCTTAAATATTTATCAAAATTAATCTAGATACCAGACCAAATTGAGTAAAACATAGGTTTACATATTTCATTGCCTCCAATCTTTTAAGTGGGTATCACGTACTGGAGTTAAAAATCTACTTGTGAAAATCTTTCTTGAAGATCAGAATAAAGATCAGATACTTTACTCTGATCTAGAAGCAAAATTTTTTTTACTTTTATTTACAATCTTTATAATGTCTAAATTCTTGTCATGATCAGTGAGAATGAACCGTTTAGCAAGGACTTATGCCACCTTTTTATTTGTTTACGCCATGTCCCTTCAGGGCATAGGCGATCATGGCGCTCCACATCTTCCTGTCCCTTGTAGCTCTTAATAAGTTTTGTCTTTTTGTTATTTCTCTCAAATCCTGTTCTACCATCCATTTATTCAAGCTTATCAACTATATTTACATGCTGCTTTCCTCTGTCCATCAATCTGTCTCCTGAGTATTAGGTTTTCTAAACCCTCCTTCCTCGTTATGTGCTCCAGAAATTTCAACTGCCTCTTCCTGATGCTAAGTATTAGTCTTCTTTTTGTTTCCATTTTCTTCAAAACCTCATTGCTCACATGTTCGTACTGCACCATAATGTCTGCTCTTGATTCTGAATTTTAAGTCCAGTAATTGAACAACTTTATTTGATTCTCAGCCATTAAATGAGAGAAAATATTGAATTTCATGAAAAATTACCTTCTCAGATTTGAAAACTTAATGATAATACGTTATTAATCTCTGATAAGCTTGGCTTAGAAATAAAATGTTACATAATTTAAAGACTTCTCTTAAAGGGGCATATCATCATAAAACAAAGATTAGCAAATTCCGTCCTGTACGCGCTCTACAACAGTGTCCTTGTGTCAGAGGAAATTATACTTAATAAACATATACATGGTTCTTTCAAAGGCTCATAATTCTTTTTGAGAAATGATTAAAAATGTTTACATTTACAGCAAA